ACGACGGCGCCCGGGCGCGCGACGCGCGGCGAGGGCCCGCGGAGGCCCATGCGCGTCTCGTGCTCCGCCTGGCGCGCGCCGCCGGACGCCTCCCGCGCGCGGGAGACGGCGCCGTCGGCCCAGTCCGAGGCGATGTGCGCGCGGCGCTCCGCGAGCGGGAAGTGCGCGTGGCCCGCGCGGTAGACGAGCGTCGCGCGGACCGGCAGCAGCGCGTCGGCACCGCACGCCGCGGCGGAGCATTTCGCGCACGACGCGGCGCCCCGGATCGCCCGCGCCTCGAGCGCGCGCCGCAGCGCCGTCGCCACGGTCGTCGAACCGCTGTGCGGCAGCGCAAGGTGGTCCACGTGGGCGACCTGGCGCGGCTGCCGCCGGACGACGTCGTCGCCGGCCGTGTCATTGCAGGCGCCGCCGCCGCCGCCAGCCGACGACATGGTCGCTCGAACCAGCAGCAGCGCCGCCGTCGCGACGAGGCCGCCACGAGTTGGTCGCATCGATCCTACGCTAGCAAGTGAGCTCGTCTCTGAGCTGGGCGCACATCGTGCCCGGCTCTCCTTCGGGGTCAACCGCCCCGCCGGGCTAAAAACTAAAAAAAGCAACTCGACTGATTTCTCGAAAAAGCAACTCAAACAATCAGGCTGCGAGCAGCCCTTTTGCAGCGTCGATGGACGAAGTTCTCGTCTTCTCCAGCCCGTAGCTCGACGCAGGCGCATAGTTGCGCAACGATCCCCGCGGCTGCGAGGACCGGAACCCTGTCGCGGACACATTCCCCGCGGGATGTCACTCCCGAGGATTGCGTCGCATCGCGCGCGGGGCGTCCCAAGGGGTCGGAAGAGGGTTTTCGGCGTCCCCCGCACCCTTTTCGACCGTGTTCGAGCGCACGGAGCATCGGGAATCGTTCGTCTATGTACCGCGGGCGTCCCATTTGATCCGCTCGGCCATCGACGTCGAAAACATCGACTGCCAACTCGCGCATAGAAACGTGGCGCGGCAGCCCGAGCGGCCCCCACGTCCAGAAACGCGGTCTGGGCCGACACCACCGCCCGAGCCCCGTCCCCAGTATGTGTCCGGTGGGATCGAGTACATCTCCAGCGGTGGAGGGCCACCCCGCGGTGCCGATCTCGGCCGTTTCGTCGTCCCCATGGAGGCCCGGAACGCCGACTTCACGGCGTCGGCCGCTGCAGTAGGAAATGTGCTGAATCCGCCTCAGTGGCCCGAAGAACCCGTCCCATGCAATCACCTACTGCAGAGAGACACCTTCACCACTGCGGACTCGGCCACGCTCGGAGCGCGTCCATCGCGTGTAATTGCTTCAATAATCGCAACGATGCAGCTCCTGAGGTGTTGCTTTTGATATTTTTTAGCCCGGCGGGCGTTACTGAATCTCCAACATGCAAGTTGAACTTCCACGCGCACGACGCATGACGGCCCGCGCTCGCAACGACGCCGCTCCGACTCCGCTCCTAGTCCTCCTTATCCGAGTCCGAGCTCTCGTGGCCGTGGAAGTGGCTGTGGCCGTAGGCGGAGTCGTCGGAGTCGTGCTCGGGCTCCGGGAGGTTGCCGACGGAGACGGTGTAGGCCTTCATGGCGCAGAGCGCGATGTAGACGGCGTAGGCCATGAAGGCGCCGAGCAGCGCGAAGCAGCCGCTCGCGACGGCGCGCGCGTCGGCCGCGTGCGCGGCCAGGCCGAC